CCGCTCCCTCCTTCCCCCCCCTTTCTTTTGCAGCAAACCGCGGGGTACGACAGATCAGCCCCTTCCTCTCATGCCTGCGGTAGGCATTCCCGTTGTTTTGTTTTCTAAAAAAAAAAAAAAAAAAAATTAAAAAAGCAAAATTGCGCTCTTTCTAACACCGATTTCCCCCGTTGCTGAGCTCTGCCTTTCGGTAAGCTTTAATAAGCCTGCCAGGTCGAGACCGACAACAGTCCGGAGCGCGAAACACACGGAGAATTGGGGTTAACGTGGTGGTGACTGTAATTCTTTCTCTGTCGTTTGCAGGTACTAAACAGCAACAAAAAAATGAATGTTTTCCCACCATGTCTCTCCATGCAGTAGGTCTGGCCAGCTACAGCAGCGCGGAAGTCTTCAAGCGCCCCTGCTCCGAAAAGGTAAGGCAAGGAAGGCATCTACATGTTGGCTCGGTGATTTCGTTAGCTGGGGGGACTTTTTTTTTCTTCAAAAAGTAGCTTTTGGTTGTCAGCGGTTGTGGTAAATATTTTTTAACGCTGGCGGTTTCATTGCAGAGTTAATTTTGGACAGACAAGCGGTAATATTGGGGGTGTTTGGAAAGGCAGACTCATTTATGCTATGAAAGATGTCAGTGGTTTTTATCGGTTATGGCAGCATGTTGTGGTATGTTTTCACGCACCTTCTCGTCATATTTATCTTTTTTTATTTTCACTTTTTTTTTTTTTTTAAAGTTTGATAGTTAAATACTAGAGGGACTCTATTCCAATCTGTGATATACTTGAAATCGTAACATCTTGAAAGTAAATGGAAGTCTTTTATCTGAATTCTCAGAACACCGGTTGCTTCCTCTAAGATCAAAGAGATGGGAGGGTTGTTTAAAAAAAGTCTTAAGACTTAGCACTCTTAATATCTTTATCTCTCACTATTTTACTGATGAGGTACTTGCATTCACCCTGGTGTCAGGCAGTCGTGATACTTGCATCCTAAGAGATACAGTCTGTTAATTGCCGATATTAAACCCAGGGGTTTTTTTAAAACAAAAGTAATTAATAAGAAATGAGTTCCTGTAAGAACTACCTTTTTTAGTAATATTGAAAAATTGATATTTAGATTCGGGAGCTTTTCCTTTTCCAAGACAGGTTGCCTCCTGTGTGCCGGGGGAGGGGGATTTGCCCCGGCTCCACAGCCCTGGGAGAAGAGGGGGAAATCTGTGCCTGAACCTCAGGGTGTGCCTGCTAATGGCGAGCATGAGAATGAGAAGAAAAGCCGAGAAGTCTTACGATCTCAACTATAGTAACATGCAGTAATTGTTAGCCATCCCTAGAGACCCTGGAGAAACAAGCAGGTTGCTTTGAGCAACCTTATCTAGTGAAAGGTGTCCCTGCCTGCAGCAGGGGTTTGGACTAGATGATCTTCAAAGGTCCTTTCCAACCCAAAACATTCTAAAATGAATGTACATGAATATGTACAAAGCCCGCCTTCACAAAGTTTTTTTCTAAATTAGTGCAGAGGGGGGAAGAAAAAAAGAAAGCACTATCACACACTGAAGAGTATTTTTCTAAGCACCGGCGTAATCAGACACTAAATATTTGAAATTCATCATACAATTTTTGGCCGGAAATACTGTTCTTCAGTTAAAAGGGAAATTCTTTGTGGGTTTTAATTTTCTTCTGCTTTCTGAGTCGCCTCGCTCTCCCAGGGGACCGCATGGGGAACATAGAGGTAAATGCATAATGGCAGAGAACAACACCACACCTTTGTAACTCCCAGATGCAGAGTTGTGATGCCAGCCCTCTTCAGACGGCGCGTGCTTCTAGGGAGATTTTCAGACAACCAGAAATACAGGCAGTGGTTAGGTGACTGTTGACAGGCCTTAACACGGTGTTCTTCCTGCTGGGATGGCTGTGAAACTAGGGGTATCATTACCAGAGCACTGTTGTCTTCTTACCAAACAGTCTGCCTGTGTGTTCTTGTTCCAGATAAACCACGAAAGCCTAAAGGTGGCTTTCACCGAGTCAGCGTACTCTTCAAATCCCTCAGCGAGGATTAGCTGCCTTGCTCCGACACCTCAAATCTCCGTTCTCTCAGGTATGCCGATTTGTCCTAAAATGCCTCTCTCTGGGGAACGTTGCTGATGCTACGAGTGCTAGCAAAAGCTGCTGATGTTTGTGCATACTAGACAAGGATAGTCTGGTCGGACAGGGAACCTTGCTTATTGGCCTTGAAGGTGGGACAACGTCAAAGTATGTTATACAATTTGAAAGTACGGTGGTTTTTGCCTTTTAAATGGTAGTTTGGCCATTTTAGTTACGCTGGAATTTTGAGTGCTCAAGAATAAAATACTTGAACCGTTCAGATGATTCTTGGCAGGTTAACTCCTTCTTCATTCAGGAAATAGTTTCTCAGATTTTAACAGATTACCATAATTACATGAGTATCCGTTGCAAAACTGAACTTGAGGGGTTTTTTTGTTAGGTGGGTTTTTTTTTGTTGTTTTTTTTTTTAATTGGAACTAACCTATTCTGGTTAAAATATGGGGTTTGGTTTGTTTGGGGTTTTTTGTTGTTAAGCTTGGCAGAGCAGAAGCATGAGTTAAATTTTAAAAACTTGTTCTTTTTTATCTCTTACAATCCACTAAGAACAAGTATTTAGCAGATTAAGTCGGCATGGTTGTATAATTAGTGCTAGAGATGCTCCGTGATGCTGGAGTAGTGGAGGTGACAAAGGATGAGAGGGGACAGAGAGGCTGTTGGGATGGGCTTTGCAATGGCAGAGCAGAAAAATTGAAGACAGTAAGACTAAACATTTTGTTTTGCACAGAAAAGATGCTGTTTTCAGCCCAGGTTAAGGTATTCCTGTGCAATTGAAATGTCAATAGTTACCAAATTGCTTTCTCTTCCTCAAAAGGTCAAAATATGTTTGTTTGAAAGTCAGCTGGCTTTTATTTTCCTGTTCCTGCCCTTACACTGCCACGGCTGGCTACGCTGGCAAAGCGTTTCTTTGCAAGTGCTGCCAGTGAAATGTGCAGTTTTGCTGCTGTTACTGCAAGAGCTTTGTCCTGATAAGTGGCAGGCAGCTGGTTCCAATCGCTGATGAACTCTTCAGCTAATTTTGACCTGGCTTAACTAGGACAGCATTGCTAGCAGCTCTTGCAGTATACGTCATGTTCCTAATAATTTTTTCAGCTTCCTCTTGATGAGGACTGCTCTTTATAGAGACTTAGTTATCCAAAGTACGTGGGGCAGCTTGTTTTGGTTTTGAGCGTTTCATGAGTAAACTTTTTATCATGCAGTTTGAGTGCATGCTGACTTCCAGGTGAGTGGCTTGTGGAGAGGTTTACTGTTTTCCGTTAAGATATGTCAAAGGAAGAGTAACCTCTGGGCAAAGTCTGCAGTCTGCTTTTTTCACCAGTGGTGTTTGACATTCCTTGTGGTGCTAGCTGAAAGAGTTCTTTGCCCTGGAAATGAATCTTCTTGATTGTGACTATTCTTAGAATTTTACAACCGGCTTACCTTCCCCAAAGGAGACAGTTGTTAACTTCATAGTCATGACGTGGTCGATAGTTTCTCCTCGAACATAGACTTTGTGTCTAATCTCTCCATGGCGTGGGTGATGGCAGTTCCTGTCAGGCTTTTTGTTCAAGGTATAGGACTTCAGTTTATTCTTGAACAGCTACTTGTTGCAGTGTACACTTCTGCATCACGCTAATGTTGCCACGTTCGCCACCGAAAGCAGTTTTTCCATTTTCTATTCATCTCTGTACAGAGAACTGTTCTGTTACAGGCTGCCCAGGGGTGTTGTGGACTCTCCTCTGGAGATGTTCAAAACCCGCCTGGATGATGTCCTGTGCAACCTGCTCTGGGTGACCCTGCTTTAGCAGGGGGGTTGGACTGGATGAGCTCCTGAGGTCCCTTTCAATCCCTGCCACTCTGTGATTCCAGTTTTGTAGTAGGTCATGTAGGACCTTGGCAGGCGGTACTTCTGATTCCTTCAGAGGCATTATAATGAACTCACTGTGACAGAGCTGATTTTCTGTATGGGTTCATGTAAATGTTGCCACCCATATGAGTAATGGACTGAAGGTTACGTTAGCCTTTTCCACATGAGGAGGAGTGTCTGAGTGTATACTAAGTGTGTATTTGTTTTTTTTTTTCTTCCTGCTGTATTGGTACTCTGTATGTTTTGCTATGTGACCTTCTCTTTCACTGGCAATGAACCAATACCTGTACTCGTAGCTGTACCTCATCTGGTTTTGTAGAACAGTGATGTTTTCGAGCACGCTGACAATCAGTCACCATTAAATTCCTAACTAATTGTGTTTGGCTAGCAGCAGCATACTTTACTGTTGGTTTATTACCTAGCCTTATCAATGACAGAATTGCTTCCTGACTGCAGAAAGCAAGAGCCTTCTTGCAGGAAGAGGCAGCAGAGGGTGGTGCGTGGATTCAGTTTTTCCCTTTCTTCTTATGCATGTTAAAAATAATGTGCATTTTATTCATGTTGTAAATTAAAATTTTAATATTTTTTTTTTTAGGATTGTTTCCTAACCTCTCGGTTTATTCCCTTTTCTGAACAGATGAATTCTCGAGGCCAGCAGTGATTGGACATGCTGGAAGTTTTGGATCATACCCAGACAGTGCTGAAGCTATCAAAGACATTCTCATGTCTGTTTTAAATGCATCTGGTTTGAAGCCCTCTTTGGTGCTGGAGCAGACCACGATGCAGGGAGCTGAGCATCTGGACAGTGACATGGAACAGTGGGAAGAAAGCAGCGACGGGGATAGCCATGATGACAGCGACAGTGATTCTGCACATCACAATGCTGCCTGTACGCAAACAGACATTCGGTTTACAAGGCACAGGGCATGTTGGGATAACACACACTGCAATTCCTCTAAACCTTCACTGGATACTTTCTTTTGTCCCCGTTACTCTGACGGGGACCCTGCTGCTTCCTCCTCCTTGAATGGTTTCACTCTTTCGGATGTGTCCCCTCTGAAGCGGGACTGCTTTACCCAGGTGACGTTAACGGGAGGCACTGTCACATCGGCTGTTGTGCATTCTAGAAAGGAACGTTACACCTCCCCTGAACGAGACTTGACTTTCACAAGGTTTCTTCCTGGTTCAACTGTTGGTAAGCCAGCAGATCTGTTGAAATACCCTGGTGCTTTGGAGCCTGTGCCCATCAGCAGCAGTGACAGCAGTTCTCCCAGTGGACTTTCCCAGCCAGAGCCAGTCAATCAAACAGGTAGCTTCACGGGTCTGTTTTTGTTTTAAAATTTCTGTGCTAGGAAAGACAACTATAATTCAAACGGGCTTTGTTTATGGTGATTGTGAATTAGACAAATGCTGTCATTCAAAATAGGAGAGAGGGGAGAAATAGAAAGCTTAAAAACGAAGGAGAACCAGAGGGTTGAACTCTGTGAAACAGGAGACACTCATGCTTGCGGTAGTTGTCTGTCTCATGATGCAGGAACGCTTCTGTAATATGCAGCCTTTGGTTAAAATGTAAAAATTGCTGAGCTGTGAGCAATGTGGAGCATCCACTGGGTGAGGCTTCCACCATCTTCGTCTTGTCTTCACCGTTACCCTTCTCCTGAAAGCAGATAGCATGGATCCGGGCGTTTGGCAGTGATTCGTTGGTGTCGCCGGTGCCCTGGGACATCTCCCTGTGTTTGATGTGAGCTGGAGGAGGGCAAGTCCTTCGATTCTGGGATTTCAGAGGCAAGGCATTAGCATCCATTCTCGTTATGAATAAAATGTCTTGTGCCAGAGCGGGACTATTTTTCCTCTTCCCCTTCCCAAGTGCCCATCTCAGAGACACATAGCCCCATCCAATGTGGACTTTGGGCTTATTCTTACTAGATACTGAGCCCCGGCAAGCTGGTGCAACCGAGGCCTCATTTTCTACTGGAAAGAAGGCAAATGGCAGGGAGCACTCAGTCTGCCTTTGTATTATAAATAAAAATGGTAGAGGCTGTTTATTTATATTTTTTTTTTCTCCTTTTGGTCAGTAGTAGTCTTAGTGGTGATACTCCATCAAGCTCCACTTCCAAGCTCTGGTCCTTCCTAGCTGTATAGCCAGAGCTCCTCCGAGGCCTCAAGTCAGCAGAGGGATCTCAAAGAGGCATGGGGCTGTTGCAGGACTGGGAGCTTTTAACAGTAATGACTCTGTCATCTGGGATAGGATGTTGTCAAGAGTTAGTGTGGCGACAATTATGGTTATTTCCTTCTGCTGGGTGTTTTGTTGGCTCCTTATGTTTGAGAGGTGCCCGTCAGGGAGAAGGAAACCACATTCGGCTGTTGGAGCTGGTTGAGTCCAGTCACACAGGTTTAGGTAGCCGGGTCTGGAAAACACAGCCCAGGCTCTCCCAGGTGTCAGCAGAGACCGCCAGGCACGTGTGTAAGAACAAATAAATTGCGTGTGACTGGATCTTTTGGCACAAGTAGGGCACGTCACAAGCTTGCATCGGGTCAGTGACACTGCTGGCTCTCCAGCAAGCAAACGGAGGAAGGCAGGTGACTGAAGATCCTTGATTTTACTAACAAATACTTCTCATGGGAGCTGGGATCCTGTTAGACACTGCACAACCTGGTGGGCTCTTCTGTCTGCATTAGGCTTTGGTCTGTTCTGTGCAAAGTGAAAATTTGTGCGTTTCATCGTTCATTGCTTCCAGCCACTTAACTCGCTGCTGGGTAGCCTGGGGTGGGGGGAGCGAGGTCTCATTCTCCCCTGCATTGTGCAGGACTGTGAGGATGGGAAAAGCAAATGGCAAACTGAAAAAGAGGAAGTAGAATGCCTAATTTGAAGGTAGGAGTTACACAAGAGCATCTCCTGACTTGCCATCCTTCCCATTGCTCTCTCAGAGGTGGTGGTTTCTCACTTTTGTTCCTCACAGGAGAATCCGTGAGGGATGCGCAAGACTTAAGAAAATGGCATAAGATTACTTAAATCAGATTTTTTTTCAGTGGGATTTAACATTTGTATCAGTGGATTTGTCTGCTGGCCGTGTGAGACTCCTCTTAGGTCTTGTTCATACTTTTACGGGCCATTCTGCGGTGGCCTCATGCAACCTTCTGAAAAGGCTCCGTCATTGCTAATGAAGAGCCAGTGACTGAATATGGTGTTTTTTGGGGACTTTGTTGTGGCTGGTGCGTCACGGGCCGTTCACAGGGCTTGTTCTTGCTTTTAACCTCTGTGTGCCTCAAGGTCACTTCCTTCTGTGGCTCTTGAGGGCTCTTTCCGCAGCCCCAGCAGCCTCCAGGCAACAGTGCTCAGAAGCAGAAGGTCAACCAGATTATTTTTTGCATCAGACCCAGCATTGCGTCCCATTGCTGGATGCACTGGGCTCCTTCCCCATGCTCCTCACTTTACATTCTTTTAGCTTAAAGGTGCAAGTGGGATGCAAGAGGTAAGCAATAAGAGAAAGCTCCCATTAGATTTCAAAATAATATTTAAGATTAATTGCATCCTGTATTTTAAAGAGAAGGGAATAATTTTCCCATTTCCTTATTTCTGCTTATTTTTAGTTCAGAGAATAATGTTTGTTATCTTAACTGGTGAGGATGTAGGCTTTTGTCAAGCTGTAGAGCCTTTAGTGCTTACCTGTACTCCCTGCACACTGCCTATCCAGGAAGATGAATCATGGAATAGGGATGAAAATAACCTAATTGGGTAATTAAATCTGTTTTGAAAAGTCAGATCTTCAGCCTTGCCTTCCTTCTTCCATGCTATACACAACAGAGGTGTTAATAATTCTGTACAAAAACACTATGTCTGTCTCGCTGCGCTCAAGCATGGTATTGACTTTCCAGCCTGATGTCACTGATGCTCAGGGAAGCGTAACATGGTTTCTATAAATAAGGCAATACAAAGAATCTAAACTAGGCCTGAGAATGCCCTTTAGCTGGAAAAAAAGTTTTCATATTATTCTCATATTTTGTGGGATATCTTTATCCTTTCTTTGACTTTTAAACAAATTTAGGAGTGGCAATTTTATAATAGAATATATATATATAATTTTTTATTTTTTTTTTTTTTACAAAGAGCCTTTGTTTAAGCCCTGTTTTTTTTCCTGCAATGG